CATCCGACGTTTTCGTTAAGTATTTATTGGATAACTAACTTTTAGATGATATCTTGTTCCTGAATGGGAGTAAAGTCTACATAAAATTGTACGATAATAGGTGTTTTATCAACTTAGTGCCTAGTTGTAATTGTATTGAATTTTTGTATACTCTTCCACTCGAGTTTAAAACCCAACAATACCAAAAATAACTCCGCTTACGTTTATAAAATACTGATTTGGAGTAAAGTCTACATAAAATTGTACGATAATAGGTGTTTTATCAACTTAGTGCCTAGTTATAATTGTATTGAATTTTTGTATACACTTGGGATGGTGTTGACTGGCTGATGTGCTGTGTTATGTTTACGCCAGGCGTAACGCTTTGAATTTAGACTAAAAAAACTCAATTTTTATTCCGCCACATGTCTGAAGAATCATTTACATGCTTTGTCGCAAACTCCATACGAGATTTAAAATGCATTTTTGTCAGTAATGGCTTCTTTCTTGCCACTCGCCCATACAAGCCAGCTTTGTGTAGGGACCGGGATATTGTCGACGTGTGAACATTGACTCCAGTCTCAGACGTGTAACTTTGCAAATCTTTCAAAGTCACTGTTGGCTTCACAGTTGCATCCCTAGTTTCCTGCTTGCCCGGCTGCTTAGTTTGGAAGGGGGGGGGCTGATCTGGGTAGTTACTGGGTAGTATGAAGCACATTCCACTTCTCATTGATGGACTTCAACGTAATCAAAGGGATAATCAGAGACTTTGAAACTTTCTTGTAACCTTCTCCTGATCTGTGCTTCTCTACCACTTTATCCCTGTCTTGTTTGGAAAGCTCCGTGGTCTTCATGGTTGTTTTGTCGTATCACTATATGAGTTGTAGCTTGAACAGATGCATTTACTCTGAAGTCAAGTTAAACCACTTTGATTAGATACGGACAGAGACCATTACACCAATTTTTGACCTTTCAAACTAATCTTTTGTACCTGAACCGTTGCGACTGCCTAAAACCGTCACTGTGTTCAGCCTGAAAACTACAATTCCTGAATATATAAATTAGTTGTTTACAACTAAGTCTGCTGTACTGAGTACCAGATATAGTAAGTTTTAATTAAACATTAATTAATAAATGTAAGTTAATGTTATGAATCAGAATATGTGTTTCCGTAGAAGAGCACATAAAATAATTGCTTTCTTCTGTATGTAGAAATATTCGTTATTCGGTAATATCATAACTTCTATTTAATCAGTATTTACTGAATGCGCCCATAACTTCTTAATGCTGCCGATTTTTAAAAGTAAACAAGTACAATGGGTAAAATATAACTTTAATACTTATTGGAGAGATAAATATAAAAGATCTACACCACACACACTTTAAAAAGTGATTAAATATAAAATTTTGTCTCAAAAAGTTTCAAAATAATACTCCAAATCAGTATCAAGCATGTTGGTGGCAACATCATGTTATGGGGATGCTTATCATCAGCAGGGACAGGGAAGGTTGTCAAGATTGAGGGGAAGATTGATGGTGCAAAGTACATGTGAATCCTAGAGAAAAACTTGCTTGAGTCAGATAAGAATCTAAAACTGGATCGAAAATTTACATTTCAGCAGGACAATAACCCGAAGGGCCAGGTTAAAGCCACACTGGAGTGGTTTTAAAAGAAGAAAGTGGATGTCCTGGAGTGGCCCAATCAAAGTCTTGACTTGAATCCAACAGAAAAATTATGGTGAGACTTGAAGATTGCAGTCCATCAACGATCCCCAACGAACTTGTCAGAATTGGAGCAATTTTGCCAGGAAGAATGGACAAACATTACACAATCTCATTGTGCAAAGCTGGTAGAGACCTATCCAAAAAGACTCACATCCGTAATTGCTGCCAAAAGTGCTTTCACCAAGTAATGAGTTCGGGGACTGAGTACTTATGCAATCAGCAAATTTCAATTCATATATTTTCTTTGCAGGTTTTACTGACATTCAACCTCCTTCACACATAACAGTCTTAAGTTTGATCATTAGTGTTTTGAATAAAAACAAGCTCATTAACAAATTGTTCACACTATTTGCATTTCATCAAAATGTGGCATTATTGGTAGGGAGTGAATGCTTTTGCAAGGCATTGTAGAAAGATTTTTAAAATATATACTTCGTTTTTTATGTTCGATTCTTGGCCGTTTTAGTAGTTGTGGTTTGTTTTTGTAGTTCTATACTGTTGTTCAGTTACTCTTGCTATTTTGTAAAGGATTATGTTTAATATTATACTAACCTAACTGAAGACAGTAGTTACGTTTGTTCATTGACAGAGAACTGACGCATCTGACGTAATTTCCGTTTCAGTGGACTTTTACATGCACTGATCACTGATTTAAGATTTGCTTTCCGATTATAACGTACACGTGAGAAAAAGCATGTTTGAAATGCATACTTACTCTGTAGCTAATAATGGTTGGAGACGGCTTGAATGGGTAATGAAGAAACACTTTAATATAAGTTTAACGTAACAGCAAATGTGCAACGTTTTGACAAGGTTTTGTCATCATTAGGTACCATCCAAGCCGTCTCCAACCATTATTAGTCTCAAGGTGGGTTCCTCGTCATCGAATTACTCTGTAGATGTTTCACAAAGCGCTATTACGCGAGAAAGAGGGCCAATAGACCTTCAGCACATCAGGAAAAACCAATAAGAAATGACCTAATCAGTGTTTAATTTTGGTCTGAGAACTTCAGTTAATGGACTACAACTGTCCGTTGAAAGGAAAGGAGACGAAATTTTGTCTTTCGTACTGAGGCCTTCTTTAGGTCTTGAACGGCATATAGGATAAACGGACAGATCCCAGATCCCAATGATTCAGGTAGAGTCACCATTAATTTTAAACAAGAGAGAATTCAACCAGCAACACACCCTGCCAAAAGGTTTTGCCCGGCTCTTTTAACCGAATTGCGGGATTGGCTGTCAAAACTCCACAAAGAAGGTGTTTGGGTGCCTCACAAACTCTCTGATTATCATCGTTTCCAACGTGTGAACGTTGCTTCATCTCTTCTGGCGCGTAATGCGCGTGAACCATTTTTGGACAGAATTGTCACCGGTGATGAAAAATGGATTCTCTATACGAATATTAAACACCAAAAACAATGGCCCAGTCCTAGACAAAAACCATATCCGACCCCAAAACCTATAAGAATGGAGACTATTTCATTTAATAAATGTTTTGCTTTGATATATAAGTTGTTCGGGTTTTTTTTTTTTGTCATCCAAAAAAAGGTGACATTAATTTCTTGACAACCTAATACTACTGTAAAAAGTACACGTTACCTAAGCCTTCATACTCACAGAATGATGATAGCCTGTTGTTGTTTGCTGAATTTCGCGTAAAGCTACTTGAGGATTATGTGCGCTAACCGTTCTTAATTTTGAAGTGATATACGAGAGAAAAGGCAGCTAGTCAACATCACCCACCGTCAGCTATTTAATAGAATAGAGTGATTTTGAAAGTTACTCTTATAACGCACCTATGGCTTCAAACTGCGGGTCGCGAACCACAGAACCTCGGATACACATTCTGGCACGCTAACCACTAACCGCGTTCGGCTCCAAGCATATTTTATCAACTTATTATAAAGTGACTGTATTTTTCACCCAGTTTTGAATGTCAAAAAGTTACTGCAGTTTTTGTTAATGTAGATAAATTGTATTACTAAGAAGTCATTCTTAAAAGTAGCAATTTTGCCTGTAAGGGTCGGCACAATCATGCTGTTCAAAACAAGGAATAGATCTTTTTAAACACAAAACTGCACAGTAGGCTATCTACGCTGTGACAACCGCAGAAATCGAACACTTGTATCTTACCATAGGTATAATATAGAAAACTCTGACCATCCCTTAATTGTTTTGAGTAGTGTATCATTTACAGTACAGTATGCACTTTGCTGATCATGGGCGAGGTATGACTTTTTGCAGGTCTCTGTGGATGACCCTGAGGTCCCAAGTTGACCCATGTTTCTTTGTTTTTTCAATGCAAGTAAATGCAAGAGACCCCCCCCCCCCGGAAATGCCAAATCCCCTATCTTTACGATCTGAGCGTATGAAAAATATATGCATCAGAAAGTGGTGTTACATATTATTCCCAATAGCGATCGAATTTCAGTAAGATCACATTACCTATAAAACGCTAACAATGTCAAAATGTAGTTCTTATACATGTTGTTCCACTGCGATTCTCTATTGGCTAAGATTTTACGTGTCTTGTTGATTTTCATACTCAAAATCATTTTAATTTAACATATTAAACCCTCTGTATAAACCTAATATGCTATGTCTTATTTCTTCAGAAGCTGGGTGTCTTGGTGCCATATTTTAATTATCCATGTCACACATTAAAAACTATTGTTTTGTGCTTTCTACAAACGCAAACAATAGCCCTAAAGATCAAGGAAAAGTGTTTTAAATATTTTTACTATAGAAAGCTAGTAAATAAGTGGAATTCTATTTGATGCTAGATGTCAGTATAACAGTCACAGCATTATAAAATCTAAAAGCTACAAGCTCAGTTTTCAGAAACATGATTATTGTCGGTTCTGATATTCTTACATCTCATGTTTCAGAATTCATTTAAACCTAACCACCCGATTTGAAAGGTATTTAAATAAATAAGGGCATTATATTGGCATTATTACTATATTGCCTCTTGGACATCTTTTGCACAAAAGACTGAATGGTGGCTTCTAACTTATGCGCATTATTGTGATTTTTTCGAACGAGGTTTACTGTATTAATTATTGCTTTTATAGTGTGACTTGGTTTACTATAACAACTAACCGCTTACTTTACTAGTATTGTTATAGAGGGACATGTTATAACATCATTTGTTGTTATGGTAATCCCTAAGTGAATATTTATGTTATATTATAACAGCATTTGTTGTTATGGTTATCCCTAAGTGAATATTTATGTTTATAACAACATTTGTTACTACGGTAAACCCTAAGTGAATATTTATATCACATGATAACAAAATTTCTTGCTATGATAACATGAAAATATTTATATTGAAGCTTAAAATAGTGAGAACCTTGTGTGAAGACCTGCGTGGTACAATGGCAGTAAAAATAGATAAGCAGTTTTATTCTTTAATATTAGTGAAAGTACACTGGCGTAAATAACATAAATATTCACTTAGGGATTACCATAACAACAAATGTTGTTATAATGTGGCATAAATATTCACTTAGAGTTTACCATAACAATAAATGTTACTATATCGTGACAGAAATATTCGCTTAAAGCTTGTTGTAGTAACAGATGTTGTTACAGTGTGACACGGATATTCATTTAGGGTTTACAATAGCAACAAATGTTGTTATAATGTGACATCCATATTAGAATTTACTACAACAGCTGTTGTTGTTATAGTGCAATAGAATTCTTTACGTCTTATCAACTTAAACAAGTACTTGAGCACTTTCGTGTTGTAATAATAAAAATGAAAAAGTTATTATAACAAAGAGCACTATGTGACTTACATGGTTTTCTTGGTAGATGTCTGCTCTGCAATAAGTTTCGAAGATGCGGCTGATCGCAGGGACACAATCAGTATGATTATATTTGCCTACAAATAAAATCTGATTTAAAATACAAATGAAGCTACGGCGAAGTTAAAAAACCCCAAAAAATAACAAATAGTAAAATAAACCACGGAAGATAAACACACAATTTTGATCTCTCAAACCAAAAAGAGTTTTTTAAATCTAGTTAGTACTCATATTTACTTCACTTTGTTTTAAAATGAAACTACTTATTTGATTGGATAAAACTAAAGTTTCGAGCATGGTATTTGTTGTGGAGTACAAGCAAATGTTTCATACAACAAGCAAGTAAATTAAATTACAGTACTGGTTGTAACTGTAAGGATAGATAGTCTCAGACACTCATTCAGTCTGAAGGACTGAAGAAAGTATTTTAATAAAACTCACACTAATTTCTTCTATACACCCAGATATAAAACTTTTTGGATAACATTACCAGGTAATGTAACTGAGATCTCAAGGTTGTTGAGAGCTGAAAATACATTATAAGCTCTCATAGTATGACACTTGATATCCACTATAAGCACATATATTTCACCTATAGATAAAAAAGTTAGAATGAAATGGTGACGATGTCACTACTTTCCGAACTCCATTGAATCTATCTTTCATACTTTTCATACCCTTCTGATGTATTTTATTTTTGAATCATCGAAGTTAATTACAATTTCAAAGAAAAACAGAGGAAGGTAAGATAATTAAAAATAGCTAAACTATTAAACCAAAAATAATGCTATTCATGATAAACATTGAGTGCTGAATAAACGCTGTTATTCAAAGCATGCTTGTTCTAAAAGAATCACTTTTATTTGAAGAGAAGATAAATAGTTTGTAATGCACTGAAAACAGAAAGATGCAGAGAAAATATGATACGATATCTATTCACATAAGTGTCAACATATTGAGCCTTTGTGTCCAGTAAAATATCGGTGTGCACAGTATTGTATTTATAGTATCTACCGTTCTGAGTACAGGTTGTTTGCCGATTACAGTTAAAAGGCCAGGAAGCTTTGCAACCACTCGATTTGTTGTATATATATATATGATTAATACATTTAATATTTGTTAAAACGCTCAGTTTAATTATTTTATGTTCCCGGTTTTCTATAAATATATAGATTTGCTAATGTTAAGCATAAAAGCAGCTACATTTAGAAAGGTTACATACCAATATGACAACACCTGCTGGACCAGCGAAACTCCATACCATCCCTTTCTTCCTCTCAAGCCAACAGCTATCAAGGAATAAAACGAGGAATATTGAAATCATTCTTGAGTTATTTCAACTCGAGCTATATATTAACTTGGGAGTCAATAATGAAACAAGTACTTTAAATACAATGATTTGAACTTACTTCTGTTCCGTTCCAAATCCCGATGGATACACAATAGAGGAAGTTAAGACAATCACGAAAGGAACACCTAAGAGAGATTAATTTTCAAATTGTTAGTGTACAATAGTCACAGAAAGCTCCTGAAATTCGGCTTTATCATTCCTGTAAATCAGAATTAAGTAAAGTTATGAGCCATGATATGACTAAATTTGTTTGTACGTTTAGAGAAATATGACTAGACTTAAATAATTTATCTGCCCTTTCTTGTTTCTACATGTGAAGTTAAAAAAAAACAAACTGGAAAGACATTATCAATAACATTTTTCGTTTAATAACACTTGTTGAATGTTATTGGAATTGGATTAATGTGTCTTTTATTTTAAACCAATCATTCAACTTCTCAGGTATTTATTTTTGTTATATATTTAAGTAAAGTCAATTTCAGACAAAACCCAATGAGAAATCTCATAATCCTTATCCCTTAGCCAAGTAATTAGCGAGACATGATATGAACCCAAGGGTCCCAAGTTCGCGTCCCGTTGCCGCATAATTTCACACTACACTTTGGGGGCTATGGGTGCATTATAAGACTGAGTGGTCAAATCTCATTATTCGATTAGAGTAGCACAAGAATTGACGGTGGGTACTGTTGACTAGCTGCCTTCCTTCTAGTTCATCAGTTCAAACTTAGGGACAGCTATTGCAGACAACCCTTGTAAAGCTTTACGCGAATTTTAAAAACAAAGGAACAAACTCTCGTATTTTTTCTCCTCGGCTCAGAATAACTGATAGTTTAATAAGTACAATAGCCTATTAAAATTAGCGTAGAAGATATGAACAAAATGCTTCATTTATACGTTCAGTTAAAATTGAAAATAACAGAAATTATGAAGTTCAAAACCCATTACTAGAGTGACAATTTTTGTGCCATTTTAACATACTGTAGACACATCAGAAAATGCTCAATCAGAATCCATAATCTATAAATTTTTAACCTTTCAGTGGCACAGCTGTATGTCTGCGGAACTTACAACGCTATCGATTTCGCAACGGTTTCGATATCCGTGGTGGGCAGAGCATACAACAAACAATTTTAAATTTGTATTTAAATCTCAACTTCGCCGAGAAATTTTTAGAAGTAAGAATGTATTTTTATGATGTGAAACAGGAAAATAATTAACAGTACTAAGATGAAACAATATTTAGCAGTTATCCATCTAGAATTTGTAAACGGACGGATGTTTCAGTTAGCTGTGTCACCACTGTTAATATTGATCGAATCTTCCGACGGACTGTGTGCTGATATTTCCAAATATTTTAGAGTCAGTTGACCACCATTATTTAAATTAATTATGAGGTTAATTGGCGAGCGTTATGGACGGATGAGAAAGAATAAAAAAAAAACACGTTTAGGTGAGAGGGATAAGTATGATTTACGAGATTGTCATCTACATGCTAGCAATGACGTCATGTGTCATAATACGACAGTATATTACCAAGCTTATAAATACGATCATAGAAGCGATACCCACATGGTGTTGTGCACAAGCCATGGAGCGTGGTTATTAACAGAATAAAAGGTAGCAGCAGTCAATAAGAATCAGTCAATCATAAAGACAAAATTAGGTTTGTAATTATGAAACATATTATATTTTTAATAAACTACTTGCCATAGCCAAACGCATAGAACCAATGAATTCGAAGCCGGTCGACTCGAGTAAACACTACAACGATCATTTGGTACAAGTGGAATCCTTCTAGCAACATCCAGGAAAAAGCTGCAAGGATCGAATAATGCAAGATTCCAGCGATTATTCCACATAAAGCCTAAAATACAAAACATTAAATATACCAGACTGAAGAATACAGCTCATCTTACTGGTTAGTCATTAGTGAGTTTATAATAATATTCAATTAAGAACATTATTTTAGTGTTTTCTTTATAAAGTAATATGTTCAGAATGAAGCTACAAAGGTGGAAAATGTGCATTAGATGAAACGTTCAGTGGAAATATACAAGCTATAAAATACATCTCAATAGAAATATAGAAAATAAAATATATATCTCAAAACAAATACAGAAAATAAAAAAATACATCTCAATAGAAATATAGAAAATAAAATATATATCTCAAAACAAATACAGAAAATAAAAAATACATCTCAATAGAAATATAGAAAATCAAGAACTTACATTCAAATGACATTTCGTTCCTTTTTTTGGGACGTAATTAACCACATATTGCATATATTTTATTTACAGACATATTGTTTTCTCTATAGAAAATCAACAAAATAATAATACAGATATTGCTTTCAGGTACCTTACCTTCACGTACCTTACTTTCTGGTACCTTACTTTCAGGTACCTTACTTTCAAGTACCTTACTTTCAAGTACCTTACTTTCAGGTACCTTACTTTCATGTACCTTACCTTCACGTACCTTACTTTCAGGTACCTTACTTTCAAGTACCTTACTTTCAAGTACCTTACTTTCAGGTACTTTACTTTCATGTACCTTACCTTCACGTACCTTACTTTCTGGTACCTTACCTTCACGTACCTTACTTTCAGGTACCTTACTTTCAAGTACCTTACTTCCAGGTACCTTACTTTCATGTACCTTACCTTCACGTACCTTACTTTCATGTACCTTACCTTCACGTACCTTACTTTCTGGTACCTTACCTTCACGTACCTTACTTTCAGGTACCTTACTTTCAAGTACCTTACTTTCATGTACCTTACTTTCAGGTACCTTACTTTCAAGTACCTTACTTTCTTCTTATCATTATTTTTTGTGTGAAATACTACAACTGACAATCAACACAAGTTTTACATTAGACTCAACTTTTGTACAAAACAACTATAAATAGCAAATAAAACGTGTATTACTTATACACTTATTCTTTTATAACTTTCTCTATTAAAACCTGTAAATAACACATTTTTTTACTCAAATATACCTCTATTCTGTTATTGTTTTTTCAGGCCAACAAGAGCTTTTGTTACTTACAGGCACTTCCGTTCTGTCTAACCCTACCACGACAAAGAAATGTGTCACCAGCAATGAAGCACTGACGTTACATGTAATGGTGCTACGTCGACAGCGGAGAGGTCTGAAACGAATGGAGCAAAAATGAATATCTACCTTCTCTCTAGTTTATCAGTTCAAAATTAGAGATGACTAGTGCAGATACTCCTTGTGTAGCTTTGCGCAATATTCAAAACCAACCAAACCTTTTATTTTTATCATTCCGCCTTAGAATAATGATTAGTTACCTAAATTGTGGAAGAAACACACATGTATTTGTATAAACAAAAAAATGTAAAGAGGGCTTTAGAGGTACTTTAGTTATACCTCTAAAATTAAAATACACGAAAAAAAGATTTTCTATGCAGAAATTATACGTTAGCTGTCTAGTTCTATCAGTTGTATATAATTACATACTAGTTCTATCAGTTGTATATAATTACATGCTAGTTCTATCAGTTGTATATAATTATATACTAGTTCTATCAGCTGTATATAATTACATACTAGTTCTATCAGTTGTATATAATTACATACTAGTTCTATCAGCTGTATATAATTACATGCAATGTAAGTGTCGTTTTCATATTTTAGCTTCACTAACGACTGTCATGAAAATATTAGATACTGTAGGATCGTACGAGCTGATTAGCAGATCGGCAAGTATATTAAATGAATAGTCCACGAAGTGACAGTTTAAAATAGTGACTTTTTTGCTTACAAATCAGCTGTATGATGAGTACTGCAAAAATAGTCATTGCCGGTGAAAAATTGTCGTCCACAAGTTTAGTCTATAGCGGTTATAATAAAATTAAAAATACATTAAAATGACATCAACGTTATTATGCTAATCTTCATATAGCGTCATCTTATCTAATTTTCCTATCTCTAACCGGTTTCATCAAGTTTTTTTCTGGTCCCACATCCTAGAAATTTCAAAAAGCCTGGCACTGGACTGAACTATCAAAGACGTTCTTTTGTCGCTTTAGGTAGATCGTCTGAATGGTCAAGATAATCATTTGGTTTGTTTTTGTTAGCACAAAGCTACACAGTAGGTTATTTGGGCTCTACCTACTAAGGGTATCAAATAGCAAATATAAAAGATGTGGATAAAAAAACTTCTGTATTTCCAAAGCAGTTTGTAACGTATCTAGTCCGTGATCTTTCAGTGTATCCTGGAGGGTAATGAATCGACTAATTATTTCTTTAAATTTCGGCACGTTCTTGTATTATTCTTCAAGTTATAACAAAGTAATACCAAGCTTTTTAGCCTTTTAAAGTTTCGGTATCTCTTTCTTTTATAGCTTTATAACACATTTGATCTCTAAATAATACTTTCGCAATGGACAATGCAAAATAGAATATGTGTTGGTGTACAATAGATTCAAAGTTCAAGAGCTTTTGAAACTATTTTGTACGTAACGATAAATCACATTTACGTGCTCACTAAGAGTAAATGAATGCACTCATTTTTATCGACACACACTCCTTAAGTCATATGAGTTTTGTATTTTTACCTTAATAATTTCTCTGTTACGGATAATACGTACGATACATTATCAGCGTTAGTCTCAGCGCACATTGATATAATTTTTTTATAAGTTTTCTGAGATTGGTGTAGTATTTCAGTAACTGATCTCAAGTTGAGAGTTGATAGATTATTTTTATCTTAAAGAACCAAGTAACTATTTTTGCTAAATATTATCATTTCAAACGTAAGATACAAATAAGACCAAAAACATGCAACATTTTGTTAATAATGAAACCTTTTCCTTCATTTCTACCTCCTTGGTGGATCAGCAATAAGCATTGGAGCTTAGAACGCTAAAATTCAGGGCTCGATTTCCATGGTTGGTACAGTGCAGGTAGTCTATTTTGCAGCTTTGCGCTTGAAGCGAAACAAACAAATAAACAACTCCTTTACTCTTTGAAATACTTGAAGAATAAAATAATTAACAGGTAATAAAATCTGAATTTGTATTATAGCTTTATAATGACGGTAACACATGATTCTTTAACCTTACCTTGGCCATAATAACATAATTATGTTTTTACCAGAAATGTGATATATATTAACGTACGTTTTAACTAACAGCACGTGGTTAGCATATGTGAAACAAGCTAAAAACATGACTATACAGTACGTATAGTTTTGATCTTTTCAGGAATTACTCTACATACTGTAAATATGTCTTACCTAAATAAAACGAGGAAAGCGATGGTCAATCCTAAAGCAACTATTGATGACACACAGCATACTAGTGACAATATCCGTAGAGGTTTGTTGTGTTTCTTGAGGGTCTGTAAATTATTATTCATATGACAAAAGCAGAGAAACTAATAAACAACAACATAAAATGTTTATACTCCAATTCTACTAAAGTTGATCAAAGTTGACACTTTATAATGTGTCTGAATACCGTACTATAACACAGTATTTACGTCGTTCCTGTTATCTTACTACTTTTTTCTGAAATGTTCTAAAGTGCAATGTGCTTTCTTACTGTATAATATAAGGTATTAGATACATCAACACACGTGGTTATACATTATTACACGACTACACAAAATATGTCTGTTTCAAGAGGAGTTAAATGATAAAAAAACAAACGGTTTCACCAGGTTTTTAATATTCATTGAAAACGTGAATAAAGAAAGATACTTACAACTCCAGAAAAATCCATTAATACAGCAAAGTTTGTGAGATGAGAGCATGCGCAGTAAGTAGAAGTTGTGGTGGTCCACATCAAACGACAACCTGAGGTGTCCCATTCTGGATACTTTTCACTGAGAAAATATCACAATCAACATAAAATGTTAATTTGTATACAGTTTACTTTATTCTATACGATTATACTGCAGCAAAAAATACATAAATGAATTTAGGCCTCGCTTCAAGGACAGAAAGGAGAGAAGAACAGTCGTATCACTCTATAATATTATACCAATAACAAAACCACTACTTGCTGCTTAGGTTATAAGTGCATCGCATTTTTTTTAGTTTTTGTTGTTGCTATTATAGAATATTTAGAATCAATTTTTTTATTCTTATTTTTTACGTTAATGTAAGAATTACCAATCCCTAAAATATTTAAACATTTTTGATGCACTACAATCTTGAACACTGTTGATATGTTTATTTTTGGTGTTTGAGTGTAAATACAAATTTAAACTTTTCCTAAGTAATTGGAGTATCCTCTCTTCTCTCCGAGAGAGGCTTGTTTGAAATAAATTTCAGTTAAAGTTCACTTTTGTCTTATCTTATTTGGAACTTTAACTAAAACAAAACATAACTGCCAACTGGCACAGTTGAATTTTGTAGATAAATTAATAAAAATATTTTTTCTAGTAGCTTAAAGACATTGTTTTATTGTTGAGTTGAGTTTTTTGAAAATATTTCGTAGAACAGATTTGATAAACATTTACAAAGAATAATTAATACTTTTCAAAAGATAAGAAAATAAACACTCATCACTTACGCAAGATTTGTTATATTCTTTGTAGAAAATGTCAACATGTTCTAACTACCGTAACTACGTTTCGTACTTTTAATGCAACAGGGAAGAAAATTCAGGCCATTTATGTATACTTAAAAGACTTAAATATTTTGACTCTTCACATCCTTCAAAATATGTGTATGATACTATTAAACCTATCGTCGATTCTTCTAGAATCTTGGCAGTTACCGAAGAATATCTTTTAATATAAGACGTAGAAAAAACATTCGCTTTAATTTAATAATTTACCTGACCTAAAAAAGAAATATATATATATATATGTAACCTTAACGCTCAAAATTGTGTTCACAGGTAGTTGGGGAACTTCTTAGATTCAAAATAGTGAAAGAAACGATCCCTTCTCCTTCATCACGAAACACACTGCAAGCAGGAAACGACCAGAGACAAAAAGAATGTCGAATATGATGACAAAGACGGCGTGTGTTTTTTTAAGTAATTACAGTATTCATAAATACATCTCGGGCTCTGTCAACACACTGTACATAGTCTCATTTCTTTTTTTTTCTCATAGAATGAAAATAATGTAGATCATTTACAGTAAAATAAAATAGTTCTGTGGATGTTAACACGTGCGACTAATAAAAACAAACAAATATTAGGCGAACCATTGCCAAAACAGAGTGCTAAAGGTGCAACTCAGGATATCCACATCAGTTA